AGTGTGAGTACACCCCTAGGTCCCTTCTTCATTGTTGTTAGATCTAACACTTTGGTCTATTATGAAATGTATTTTACTCTATTATTGTATTATCCAAGGCATGCATGTTACACTGTACACGTCACAGACTGTATTTCTGGTGGACCATTGTGTATCTAGTATAATAGAAGTTAACTAATTAAGAGATACAGTTTCGGGGAAACCAAAAAAAAATAAAACTTACCTTTGATGGGATTAATGTATCTCCCAGTTATATGTCTTTGTCCTTCCCCATTTTTACATAGATGTCTGCATCTTTTAGAGGATTTGGTCCTCTGGTTCGACGACTCAGACTCACTACAAGAAACTCCAAAAGGACACCAAAGAACCAAATGATATAAGGAGCCCATATAAGCACATATGAAAGAAAAAAAATTAGAATTTTATAGTATGTGTACAGTGCAACAGCAAAGAGCTTTTTTACATTTTAGAGAAGCCAAGTTGCGATACCGAACAGGACCACATGAAGATGCCAAAAAAACCTTAAACCAACCACCTCCTGAATGCATATATCTACTAGCCTACAGTACATGGATCCATTCCGTATAAGTAAACACAGCAACATAAACATGACAAATCAAAACATTATCGTGAATGTGTGGAAACAACATGAATATATGGAAATGTCTGTGCATAAATACAATGTGCGATCAGTGCGTCAAGAGCACTCATACACGCATTATTATAACGGACTCATGCGTGCTTACTGTACGACTCCTGTACGCCACCGCAATCGTCTTTACCTTGGTTGCAGTCTTCATCCATCAAAACTTTACTAGCGAGACTGGTTATCAAGTCGAGAAACCGTAGTTTGCATCTCATCTGGCCATACAGCGGTGGGATGTGTTGACAATCCGTTCAGTCTGTACTTCACACAGCGCGACGTGTGAGGGCTCGTGCTCTTCAGAGACAATCAGAGAATATGACAGAACTCGTGTTTTAAATCGAAACACACTGGAATTAATAATTCACTTAAACTCGTGTGCGAGTCTCTGTTCTCTCTGCAATCTCTGATGTAATCAGCCTGGTTTCCTTTATATTAGCGCAGTTTTGGACGGATTGTTTGAATGCATTCGCTTACTGGAGACTGAAAACTTTTTGAGTTTAACAACTTAAAATGATCTAATCACAAGTGGAGTAGCAAAATTGGGTTAAATGGTTAGAATAGAAATTGTGCTTCAGTAATTTTGCGTTAAATTATTTTAACGTGTTAAGGATTATAAAATGAATCGCATGCGTTAACGATGACAGCCCTAATATATATATATACTGTATATAGGGAGGGGTAATGTAAATTCGATGCTGGAATGGCAAAAATAGATAATGCTGCTTCAGTAATGCTTCTGCTGCTTGTGAAAACATTTGTCTTCCACTTACTGTACGTGCTGCAGACACAAGATGTGTAACCTGGCCATTCCAGTTTTGCATCTCAAGTCAACAATAATTGACTTATATTAGTGTTATGTGAATGTAATTCCCATCCCAGAGCATGGTAACGTAAACCAATAACAAATAGTTATCATTAATTCAATCAGTTACATCAGTTCTATCTGTGTCAATGCATATCAGTTTGAGTGACTTGTAATCGTCTACTGCATGACATCAAGCATATTTTTGACATGATGCACTGACATGAAGTGACATGCTTCTCTTAAGGATGTAATGATGTAGTGTAGTGTGCATGATAGCAGTGAAGACAAAGAATCCTAACAGCAGCTTACTCATTTACACCACTATTTTTAAAGGCGATTTAGAGCAGACAACACAGCGTGACCTGCAATCTCCCTGCATTAAAGTACCTAAACCTGGTGCTCAACAGGTTTTTTAAGCAAGACTTGCAGAGGCCATCTGAACACTGCAGCTGACAATGACAAATCCAGTCACGGGTGCTTCATCTTTTAATCTGGTGAATTAGCTCGCTTTAACATTCAGTCAAATCACACTTTATGCAGTCAGTAGGAGGAGAGCTGAAAGACAAGCTCTGTGATCAGAATGTCTGATTGTCTTCTGAGACCGAAGCATCTGCTGGTTGGCGACTTGGCCTACTTTCCTCTTGACTGACTGTTATGGCACTGGATTGATCTGCATACATGCCATGTGGTCAGATTACCTCATGTGTGGGTATTCACTGGTTTAAAATAGAAACGCATAGACATATCTGACTGCTCAGTGCTCACATCCCATTGTAATGAAAATTTTAAATCCTTTTAGTGAAAGCAACAGAACTCAAAAGGAGCGTTTCTTAATTTTAACCACTGTGTAAATCAGCAGTTCTCAACTGGTTTTGCTACAGGACCCAAATTTACATTAGGCATTAAATTGTCACCAAAACAGACTACTAAAATTATTTGTAATATTACCAAGAACTTCATAAACCCAGCAATACACAATATTTTCCACAATAACGCATATTAACAATCCATTTTGGGCCATCACGACAGTATTTATATCATTTTTTACCTCTGATCCACTGCAATGTCCAACTGTCCTGAGCGCGTTCACAACATCCGGCGCGTGACGTCAAATAAATACTTCTAAATATATTTAGATCATCGCAGTGGCAGTGAACACGTCCGCAATCTCTCTGCACTGTGTAAATAATGAGTGACGTATACGCGCGACAGATCGCTTCCGCACATGCGTCTGCTATCATAGATACGTATAGATGCCCTATTCGACCGCTCCAGATACGTTGACGCGTCCGCCATTTTGGAACGTATCGCGGCCCATAGAAACAGTCACTAATGAGGCATCTACTTATATTTATATCTATGTCTACTATGCCAGAGCACGTACACGTGTCACGCGCCGGATGTTGTGAACGCGCTCAGGACAGTTGGACATTGCAGTGGATCAGAGGTAAAAAATTATATAAATACTGTTCAGTTTCTTGCACAGACCGATTGTTTCGTGTCTTAAGACCTCAATGTATCGTCACGAGCCACAGGGTTTAATTAGGTTTTGTCTGTGTAGCCGTGGAGCCCATTGACTGCCATTATAAGACTAATAGACTGCAACGGTTTGAGTTAAAAATATTTGTTTGTGTTCTACTGAAGAAACAAAGTCACCTACATCTTGGATGCCCTGGGGGTAAGCAGAAAAACATAAAATTTTTATTTTTGGGTGAACTATCCCTTTAATACACGTAACGCTGCTGTGTTTACAGCGGTAACCAAGGAAACGCTGTATCACTGTTCTATAAGCGCCACCTGCTGTCAGAGAGTGAATCTGCGTCTCATTCAGCCCAACTGCTGTTTCTGTTTCATACAGATGTTTTATGTAGCGTAATTTCACAAAGCTAAAGTCAGGTTATTCTGTTTTTGCTTCAGATTTCGAAATTATACAGTCTAATATAAATCAAACATTGCACTTTTTTTCAATTCATGATTAAAATGCAGTGGTTGCCTCTAATTTAAAATGGCTATGAAAAATCAAGGTGCAACACAGAGTAAAGAATATGCAAATGTTATTTTATATGTGATTTTTCAATTTCTGTACCTGAACATCTACAAACATAAAAACCTAAAGCATCAGTTCATTTCTTTGTTTTGTGCTGTAGGCCTATATTTAATTGTGCTATTACTTGTAATTTGTTCATTTGTTCTTATTTACTGGCTGTCACTTGTCTTTAATAATGTTTAAATTATAAATATATTTATGTTTATTTTTGGCATATAAATATTGTTGTCATATAAGCTTATTTATTAGAATACAACATAACAGATCAAAAACAATGATAACAGCAACTATTTTATTTTTTGTGGTAGGGCCAGTGAAAATGTTGGCAGAGCAAGTTAAAATTTGAACCCGACCGGGCCAGTAGAAAAAATCCTTAGCGTTGATCCCTGCAGCATGACCTCAATATCAGTTTCTGACCCTCATTCAATCAAATGTAAACAACATAAAGTGACAAGATGGAAGATCAGTTACTTTTACTTTACTTTTAGTCATTTAGCAGACGCTTTTATCCAAAGCGACTTACAAATAAGAAAAAGTAATTAAAACTAAAAGCGAAAACTCTATAAATACTATATATATACACATTTAAGAAAATAAATTAAATAAAAATGACAAATGCATACAACATTTCAAAACTAAACATTTAAATGAAAACAAAAAAAATAAAGCTAAAAACAATTCAAAATATGAAAAGAACAAAAGGTATGAGTATAATAATGATTCTAACATAACACTAAGCCAAACACCAAAAAACTACATATGTGTATGTACAGCCACACACACATACATATACATGTACATATATATAAATACATTCAATATATATATATTATTTCATTTCCATTTTGTATGTTGAAGTACTGAAATAACTAAAATTAAATAAAACTAAAACTTAATAAAAAACCTATATAGACATAATAAAAAACTAATAAAATGACAACATTACTACAACTGTAACTAAAACTAAAATAGATAACTAATACAAATCAAACTACATTAGTTTATCAGTAATCCTAAAAAAATAACACTGAGCCAAACACACATGCTAAAATAACAACAACTTACTGACACATAGTATCACATAGCTATCATAACGAAACCATTAGATGTTTACTGATCCGATATTGATGGTTTTGCTCTTCCTGCTCAGTACAGTTTACCAGTCTACAGTTGTAGTTGTTATACATGTCAAGGCTACTCAACATTTTAAAGTTGCAAAACATCATACAATAAAACTTAGTTAGGGCTAGTTTTTATTGTTAGTTGCAACCACATTCGAGCATGTAATAAATACATGACTGTGTTTGTACCGTTTAGTGGTCCTATTAAAAAAATATGCATAAAGGAACTGCATATGATGGCTTAATGGCAAATTTTGTTCATATCAGGCACTTCAATGAGTACATTTAATGTATTTCACTCATTTGTGGATACTCATAACTAACAGATTAAATATGAGATGAAATTATGCTTTCTTATATTTCTAAAACATCTGCACCCACCTCCATCTGTTGACCCCAAGGTTGGAGGACCCAGAGAACCAGGGATCCAGGAAGTAGACACATCGAACAGTGTCTGCCCCACATACTGCCTCCTGAAGTGCAGGGTTGTCATGGAGACGGAGGCCCTTCCGGAACCAGTGGATGGAATTTGTGGCCATGTTCACTGAGTCACCCTTCAAAAAAAAAAAGAAGAAATTCATCAGGACAAATACATTCGTTCTAGAGTCTGTTGATTAATTGAGGATGTCATTGGCAGCAGTTGGCAAACATATAAAAACATATTGAACTTTTTGGAAAATTAAACCCTCATTAAACACTGTCAAAAGTGACCTTACAAGACATTTGCCATTTAAACACATAAATGAAATAGATCAAAAAGTACTCCAATCCAAATTATACACTTTTCACCATCTTATCCTTAGCATGTTAATGTTGCCATCATAATTAAACAGCAAATTGTTGACCATCTCCTGCACATCACCACCATTACAGAAATACAATTAAATTAAATGATAGCTTTGTCTGCGAGACATTTCCATTCTTATTTTTCAGACATTAGCATCATAATATCCTACATTGAGGCAGTAAAAATGGGTTGTCATTTTTAACTTTTGCTCAGAGACCATCTGGTATAGATTTGAGTCTTTTTTTGTCCTCTTTCCCCTTCATGAAGAGGAATCCTCCAAATCTGGAGGATCAAATCTATCTGAGCAGTCATTCTGTGACATTGAATTCTTGGCTTTTCCTCAGACTGACTCAGGATGTGTGACGTGTGCAGTGGACTGAATTCCGTCATATATGTCAGTGCCATACTGTCTCTTGTGAGAGATATGACACACATAGGAGCCTACCTGTCAATTATGGACATGTTTTTAAAACCTGCTCGAAAACAACCATCATACACACATGCAAGGAAAAGTAGTCTCAAGGAGGCAGAGGATTTATCTTCATTTATCTACTGTATATGCAAGGTTAAGCCTCTGTCTCTGGGGCAACTTATCGGTTGTCTGTGCCCTGGTAATTACAGCAGCCCATCTGCTACAACTGTCCTGCATGTGTGCACAAAATTGTTAAAGGTGGCCTACTCATCACTATTTTTCCAAAAACGTTTAGCCAACAAACCCACATTAATAATATCTGGAAGTACTAAAAGGACAAACACTCATACTTATGCATACTGGCAAACAGAGCAAATGTGTAAAATACAAATTTGCTGAACAACAACTATAAAAACTATACAGTACATGGTTTTCATCTATTACAGTAAACTGTACTTTCCAGGCAATATCAGTTTATCAAACATTACCTAAAAAGTGTGTCCTATACACCAGCTGTAACGGAAGAGGTCTGACGCAACAGGTTAGTATTTATAAAACAGTTTTATTTGGTCACAGAGAGTACGGGTGTAGGGTCCAGATGATGTGATGGTGAGTGAATAGTTCGTAGACCAGTTCAAAGGATATGACGAGTGGAGTAATCCGAGTCTTTGGCTTTACAGGAGCTGGAATGCACACAGGAGGAACACACACCTCAGCGATCCGGGAACTAGGAGGAACAGGAGACACTTGGAGACGAGGAGACACTAGGAGGAACACAGGAGGTAAGTAATGCAGGAAGTATTCAAATGGAAGTAGTAGCAAAGTCATTGAGTCCTCTCATCCAGGATCAAGGGAAGAGGGGGTTCCTCCGTCTGGCCAGGCTCTGTGGGGAGAGAGACAGGTTCATGGTGAGGCTTAAGTAGTGATACGTGGAACGTGGGATGAATTCTGTACTGTGAGGGGAGTTGGAGTTTGTAGGTGACCGGGTTTACTTGTTCCAGGATGGTGAAGGGGCCAACAAATCTGGGACTGAGCTTTCTACAGGGCAGGCGCAGTCTGATGTCCCGAGTTGACAGCCATACCTTCTGACCTGGCTGATAGGTAGGTGTTTCGGCTCTTCGAAGGTCCGCGGCCTTCTTCTGCCTGCGCACTGCCCGTTGGAGATGGTGGTGAGCAGCGTCCCAGACCCTCTCGCTTTCCCGGAACCAGTACTCAAACGCCGAAAGATCAGAAGGCTCCCCGGACCAGGGGAACAGTGGAGGCTGGAACCCGAGTACGCACTGGAAGGGAGTGAGACCAGTAGCAGACTGTCGCAGGGAATTCTGGGCGTACTCGGCCCAGCCCAGGAACTGGTTCCAGGAATCCTGGTGACCATGGCAGAAGGTTCTCAGGAATCGCCCCACCTCTTGAATCTTCCTCTCCGTTTGACCATTCGATTCTGGATGATATCCGGACGAGAGGCTTACGGTCACACCTAGGAGTTTGAAAAAAGCATTCCATACCTTTGAAATAAACTGAGGTCCCCGGTCTGAGACGATGTCTTCGGGAATGCCATAATAGCGGAAGACCTTGTTAAAGAGAAGCTCAGCCGTTTCCAGTGCAGTGGGGAGACCTCTGAGGGGCAGAAGGCGACATGACTTTGAGAAACTATCAACTATTACCAGGATGCATGTGTTACCTTCTGAGGGTGGCAGGTCTGTGACAAAGTCTACTCCTAGGTGTGACCAGGGGCGATTTGGCACTGGTAGAGGAAGGAGTTTGCCAGATGGTAAGTGGCGCGGGCTTTTGGACATGGCACAGTCTGGACATCCTTGCACGAACCTTCTCACGTCCCTTGCCATATTGGGCCACCAGAAGCGATCTCGTAGCAGCGAGAGGGTGTTGTTGGCCCCTGGATGGCCAGTGCCTAGAGAGGTGTGAACGGAGTGAATTAGGGAAGTGCGTTGTGCTCTGGTGACGTACTGCACTCCTGGTGGGCAACCCGGCCGAGTGGGCATAGAAGCATTGGTGGAGGTGACTGGGGTATCCTTCCATTGGATGGGGCTTACGAAGATTTCCTTGTGGATAATGGATTCTGGTTCCTCACTGACTTGACACTGACACCAGAGAGAGCATCTGCTTTCACATTCTTGGGGCCTGGACGATAGGAAATGGTGAAATTGAATCTCATGGAAAAGAGAGCCCATCTTGCCTGACGAGGATTGAGTCTCTTGGCGTCTCGTAAATATTGTAGGTTTTTATGGTCAGTGAGGATGCTGAATGGATGATGTGCTCCCTCCAACCAATGCCTCCATTCCTCTAGGGCTAGTTTGATAGCCAGGAGCTCCCTGTTGCCGATGTCATAATTTCTCTCCGCCGGGTTGAGTTTGCGTGAGAAGAAGGCACATGGATGGAGTTTGGCTGGAGTCCCCCTGCTGCTGAGAAAGCACGGCTCCTACTCCTGTAGTGGAAGCGTCCACCTCTACCACGCATGGCTTATTTGGGTCTGGATGGATGAGGAGCGGGGCAGAAGTGAAGGCCTTCTTTAGCACTTCAAAGGCCTCCGTGGCCGCTGGTGACCAGGACAGAGATTTGGGCTTATTCTGGAGCATACTAGTGAGTGGACTGGTTATGGAGCTGTAGTGGTAGATGAATCTTCTATAGAAGTTCACGAATCCCAGGAAGCGTTGAAGTTCCTTGACTGTGGTTGGAACAGGCCAGTTTCGGATGGCATTAACCTTCCCCTCGTCCATCTGGATACCACCGTCATCGATGACATAGCCAAGGAA